TTTTTCATATTATGTGTGAGATGCCGCGCGCCTTGGGCTCTCAAAGAAGTTTTTGCGTTTCATCGGCCTACTTAGTTTGGACCGCTCCGAAAGAAACTGACCTCGATAGAGCCAATAACTGCTCAGCTTGAGGTCGCATTTCAGTACTGAACGGTTTGACTGCTGATGTTGAGGTAGGAAACTATCCTATCAATGCCGACTGTATCGTTGCGGGTGATCCTCTTCCTAATGATGGCACGAATCCTAGTTGTGTTCACTAATTCCGATCGTCCACTTTTTGGCATCTCAGATGCTTGTCTTCGAGCCTTGAGAGCAGCAGTGACATTTCAGACGGCTAGAGGCCGAACGCCGAGTCGCTTTGCTATGTCACAACTCCTGATGGTGGGCCGACAAGCAGAAACTTTCATAGCGACTGTTCAGGCGGACGGTTGATCGAATGACTTGTAAGGCTTCTTGCACAGCTACCGCGCTTCCTAAGAGTCCGGAAATTTTTTGAAAATATCCCCTGGCAGGATGCCAGCAATAGTCGAACGGCACGTTTAATACTTTTCTGCCACCCTGTAGTGTAAGCCTGAACTGGTACAATTCTTTCGACTGACTTTTCCTTGCCGTCATCCGCTGCACATATTAGAAATGAGAAGAATGGTTTCCTTGATACACTCCGGAAAAGCGCTTCTATGCTTGGCATTGAATAAGCATCCAATTTGATTTTTTTTGTTAAGTTCCCTACAGTCTACGTTCAACTGAATTGAACCATCCTTCTTTCAAACTAGACCATCGGAAAAATCTATTCTGATTCACTATGTGCTATGACATTCCTCTCTATCAAGTCTGCTATCGAGTCTTGTTCTTAAACCTAGCGGTACTGGCCTTGCCTTTAATTTGACAGGTGTGCAGTTCCCCGCGTCAGAGTTCATTTTGACTAAGTTCGTTTGGGTCGGTTCTCGATCCGAAATAGAGCACGTTCCTTTGACATTCCTTCAGAAGCGTCCTCTTCATCCAGCATTCGCGTTTCTGTGTTCGCTTACTTCCAATTTCTGCAGTCCCTCAGTAACTGATAGTACATTATCAAGATCGTTGGATACGAAAGCATTAAAGGCACAGTTTACGATACTTTGGGGTAATCCAGATTATGACGAAAAATGGAAGATCAGATGGAAAAGAGTGCGATGATGGCGTAGAAACTGCGTGAATCGGTGTTTCCAAAGTGAAAAAGGCCTCAAAAAATCGTTAAAAAGGAGGCTGGATGAGATTGAGACCAGAAAAATGAGGAAGAATGGGGCGTTTGGGCGAGCTATGCAAAGTGTGTCACTGCGTACGTGCGGCTCCTAGTGCGAGTATCTGACTATGGTAAGCAAAAATTCGTTCACTCATAAGCATAACTTAACAAAAAAAAAAACCTAGTAACAGCAGAAATAGCCCACCTTTTTCAGCCTCTTGGGGTAGAAAATTAGAATAAGGATCGCAGCAGCAAAAAGAGTAACAGAGAATAAAAGAATGGGAGAAAAACATCGCCTCATCACTCGACGATCAACTGATTGTGTCTGAGTCCTAGAAGAAATACTGCAATCTGTATCGCCTGGACACTCGTCTGACGTGACATCGATCGAGGGGCGGGAAGTACGGGCGATCCGGTAACGGAGCTCCCACTACACCCTAACTTTTGAGTTTTGGGACTCGACAGCGTCTATCCTGTTACCCTTGGAGCCTTTGGATATTCTTAGGGGGAGAACTCAGGAACCATTTTCATCGTGAACTGTGCTTTTAGGTTCTTCCTAATTCCAAAAGCAGCGGATCCGTGCCAGTGTTAAATAGTGGGATCGTAGTGTTTTGACCCTTGGTCGAATATACTTCTGATTCCACTCCTCGCTTACTATGCCGTATAACACTCCTTATCGTTTCTTATGTCCACCTTCACATTTTGCTGTGACGAGTCTCCAGATATATTGTGATATCTAAATGCGTCTCATTACAACCACATGATTTTGTTCAATTGCTTTGCTAAATGGTTTACATCATTCTTTATTTATTGACTTTTCTACTCCTAGTTTGCTCAACGCGTTAGTTAGTTTTCGTGTTAGTTCCAGTCACTACTTCGGCTTCTTTTGTGATGCTATTACGGAAAGATGTCGAGCCTATATACCCAATCTTTGTGTCCACTCAATATATCGTACCCTCAACGTTCGTTTTGGTGTTTGACGCGTCATATACCGGTTTGAGTTTAGCCTTTGTCACGGCTGACAAAGTGTCGATTTTCAACCGCCGCTTTTGCGCTTTTGCAAGCACATCCATCGGGATTGAACTGATCATTGACCCTGTGCCTACTAAAGCCTCTAGTCCTCTCCGAAAAGGTTCACTTCCACTACCATACGAGTGTCAATGAGATTACTCCTTCACTTGTCTTCTCTGGTCGCATTTCCAGGCTACAACATCCTTTTATAATAGATGGCATTCTTACCAGTTCTGCTTCTTTTCCCGTAACCTGTGTAATCATCTGACCCGTGGTATCCACTCTCACTGCTTGTGTAGGGCATTCTCTCGCGAAGTTTGTGGGTCTTGAAAACTGGTGACGTTTTTAGCTCTGCTTTCTGGCTGTCTCTCTCTCTCTCTTCGGATAAGCAGGGCTGGGAAACTGACGCTGTTTTTGGGACGAGGGGCTTGCTCTTCGTCTCCCATACGATCGAAATTCCTCGATCTCCCTGCCGTGGAATCTTCCGGTTCTGCTCCCTGCCACTTTAATGGTGAGTGTACCTAGCTGTTCGCCAGAGCATTGAGCTATTCCTGTTTGTCCCAGCACTATCTTCGACTACTCTATGCTGAGGGCTGGCTGCTTTATTTCTTTGCTTTATTGGTTTCTACGCTGTGAAGAGCTTCCATTGATTGCACGTGTTCCGGCTAGTCGCTTAAATTATCTAGGAGGACCTTAGCGTATTCCATTGACCTATCCTCCGGTCCTCCGGTATATTTTCTGAATTTGCTTGCTTGGTTATTTTCTCCAATACTGCACAGAATTCTGCGACCTTTTAACCTGGCCTTATTCTCAAATTTTTCAGCTCGGCTAGCGCTTTCATTCTACTCGCTGTTCGCTTGTCACCTCGCCATCTCTCCCGTCACTACTCCCAGGCCTTCCTTTTTAATGCGCTTGGCAGTGAGGTGGATTCTTTTCAATCCTTCCTGCTAGATGGTCATTCCCGAATGTCTCAATCAAATGTCTCTTCACAGAAATAGCGCCTCCACATTTTCGCTCAGATTTCCATGGAAACTCTCGAAAGTTTTCAGTTTTTTCCCTTCGACCCTTTGTGGAACACTGGATCAGCATACGTCATGGCTCATTTTTACCAAATCTATGTATATTTATTTCGTACCTGTGTCCACGTGTGCCTCGGTCTATCTTTGGGTTGCTCCATGTTCGGACTCCAACTGCATGCAGGTGACGGACCAGTCGGATAGGCTTCCTCCTGGGACACAGTGTTTCTTGTGCCACCTTTCATGATTTGATCTGCATGCTCGTGTTTTACTTGCTTACCCCTTTTCGCATTGAGCTCATCCTCACTGAAGGTCTTCCTTCACTTTCCTCCGATCACAAGCTTGAGCTGGAACATGTCTGTTTCCAACATTTCGCACGGTTCGCATATCAGCTTTCCATCTTTCTCCACCGTTTCTATGTGCTCTGCCTCCGACTCCATTCGTCTCTGTGTGAGGGTGTCTGCAATTCTTTTCAATCATCCCTTCGGAATATCAAGTATTTCATCCACAGGTTTTTTCGATCGCCTCTCCTACTACAGACCATTCTTTCTCAGGGCTACCTTTCAATTCCTTAGCTATTGCTTTTGCTAGCATCAAAAGTGCTATTTACCTTGCTTCTCGCACGACCCTAACACACTCTTACTAGTTTCCACTACTTTCCATGGGAATACCTAAGAATTGCTCACCTGTAGTGGTGCATGATGTTCTACTATCTCGAGAAAGTATTCGATTCTGTCTATCTTTTCATCTATCATGAAATTCGGTAATACCGGAAGGAGCACCTGAAAGGTCGGATAAGTTTAGGGTGGATGCGGCTTCGGGCAAAGTCAACAGAACACATGTAAGCACAAGTGAATACCGCTAACAGGGGGCGAAACAGGCCCAGGAATGGGAGTTGCAATGAAAAAGCTGCGGGCTTTTGTTTTACAAAAGCCCCGAACTCATGGGCAAAGTTTAGAAAAGGTTATCAAATTAGATGAAGGAGACTTTCCTCGAACGATCTTTATGAACTAACAACTCAATGGCGAAACTCTTGACGGGTGGCGCTCATATTAGATAATACATATAATTGATGATTTCTCTGTTGCGACACCAGCGTTAGTACGCATAGCCCAGCTGATACTCCACAAACTGTTTAGGCGTAAACGGGGGATCATTTCGGACACTAGCAGCCGTGATATTCCATGGCAATGTTTATTAACAACCAAATATTTGTCCTTGCCAAACCTATCATCCCAGTGCGACCGTAGTGGTTGTTATACAATATTTTAGGCGCTCTCGAGCAACCCGCATACGAGGCCAGCGAACCTGCTTCCGAAGAAAATGATCTGTTCAGTCACATCCATAAGTTCTTCATTCTTTCCGGCCCTACTTTTGAGAATGACCATCCCCCTCCCCCCGCTGACAGTTGGGTTGCAATTCCCATTAGGTTTGTGTCCACAATAATAAAACAAGCACACTTGGCTTCTAACCGTGTGCCTGTCATGGAATCATGGGAACAGATATGATATAGAAATTTATGGCTAGTTAAGCGGTTTCTCTTCCAACTCCCTCGAAGCAAAACTCGTAAATGGAATCGCCATAATCATCGCGCTTCAATCGTGAACTTTATCTTTTCTGGTACTGATTTGCTTTTCAGTCGACTGCGAAACTAAAGGATGTATTTCATTTTTACTTTCCAATAATATCATTCGGAATTCTTTCCGGCAATATCATTTAAAGTTTACATTATCAGTGTCGTCAGTGTCATCACCGATGCGCATACCGGGTGTGGAGCCATTTCACACCTCTCCTCTCACATCGTTTGGAGAGATGTTGTTTGGAACAACAAAAACGATTCTCAATACTTCTCAAATCTCAGCATTCGACAATAAGGCAAGTGTTATGCTCGAATTAAACTCGTCTGATTGCTGTACTTTTTGGAGTAAGCGTGAGCATATTTTGCAGGGACTGCCCTCCATTGCATAATTGGTTGTTGCACCCAATACGGCATGCGTTTAAGGCGAACCCAAAGTTGTGCGTGAAAGAAACGTATGAGGGTCTCTTGCAACGAAGTACGTACACTGGATAATTTAGAATACCAATAAGCAGTGTGCCGTGCCGCGGCAACTGACAAAGCTGCTTGAATAGTTCCTGATTCTAAAGGCACGGTTTGCGATAAAAAAGGTGACTGTGTTCTTCTTTTAGGAATACTCAGCGCCCCCCATGGGTGGTAGAAAGGACCCTCTCGCTCCCACAATCTCGGCGCTTAGGGCATAGTGGAAGCCCTGTTGCTGCCGTAATTGGTTTTAACGCCCCTCGATCGATATCACGTTAGACGAGTGTCGAGACAATACAGGTTGCAGTTATTCGTTCTAGGACCCACACACAATCAGCTGATCGCCGAGCAGTGAGGCGATGTTTTTCTCCCATTCTTTTTTCCTCTGTTATTCTTTTTGCTACCGCGATCCCTTATTTAATTTCTTACTCCCAAAGGCTGAAAAAGGTGAGCTACTTTTGCTGTTACTAGGATTTTTTTGTTTACTTATGCTTCTTCTTCTTCTCCCTAGCGTTAATCCGCGCCGTCGCAGGGTCCGCTGTTCTTGTCAGCCGTCTCCATTTCATTCTATCTAAGGCATCTTCTGCCGTCACCTTGGCTTCGGCGAGGTCCTTCTTGATCACGTCCCGCCATCTCTTCTTTGGGGCTCCTCGTGGTCGCTTGCCTTGAGCCTCGAATTCCATTGCTTCCCTTACTGGATGGCTCTGTGGTCTTCTTAGTACATGCCCGAACCATCGCAGGCGCTGCTCTCTCATCTTCAGTTGAATTGGAGCTGTTTGCATAGCCGTCCTGACGTCTTCATTTCTGACCCGATCCAGCCGAGTCCAGCCGCAGGCCCATCTGAGCATTCTCATTTCAGCGGAGTGGAGCTGTCCTTCGTGGGATTTA